TACTCGCAACCTCTCACAAATCTCTTTAGCTAAATCCCAATCCTTATCAGTTGGCAAGCGTTTATACAAAGGCTCTCGCTGTTTCAACCGATGAAACACATCTTTATAAATTAAAGCAACACTAAGCATCAAGTATGTCGAGTTTCATCGGGTCTTACAATCAAGAACCAATTTTTTTGAGCTTGATATTTGCAACTGATGTGCTACTTCTCTAAAAATTTGCTTTCTTTTGGGTGATGTTACCCAAAAAGCCACACTATTTTTAACCCTTTCTATGCCTTTTCCAATAATCCCCAAACCATCTTGGACAATCAAATTGAGAATATGAATACAACAACACATGTGAAACAATTTTCCATCTAACATAAGTGCACAGTGTTAAGCTTACTCAAGATAATCTCAATGAGGGAATCATTAGTGGAGTAATTATCAACTGTTATYGTCGACAACTTCCTATAAATATTCCAATCCATCATGCAATCGACTAAAACATTAGAAAATGCTTCTAAAGTGTGTGGACAAGGCACATAAACAAACCTAAAAATGCAATATTAATTTACTAGTAAGAACAAGTCTCAAATTTTTGTTTTAAAATCAAATTACTAATAATACAAAAAGAATTTTGACTATGTATTAAGGAAATTAAATTTCAAAGTATCATGTTGAAAACTAAATACCTCATAATTCGACTTTGCATTTCCCAACTATCATCAATGAAATATGCCGTGATAGCCATAAAGCCTTTCTTTTGGTTATTAGCCGTCCACATATCAGTAGTTATTGCAACCCTACTAAGATTCTTCTTCAAAAAGTGCAATGTTTTTTATTTCTCATTGTCATATATCTTCAAAATGTCACTTTTGATAGTATCCCGAGAAGGAACCTTAAATAGAGGTTGAAAACTAGTTGTGTATTTCCTAAATCCACAATGTTCAACCATTGAAATTATCATGGAGGCTAGGTCTTTCCTTGAAGCATCTTGATCAAAATGATAATTACTAACACAAACTTTCCCATTAGCCTTTCTTTGTTCTTTTACTAGAACATGTTACTTTATATCTTCATAAGACCTTCTTGGACAAGTCTTATAATGGTCATGCAAATGAGTTGTCCCATTTTTACTACTGCCTCCAAGCTTTTTATGACAATAATTACACTCCGCCTTATCCACCCCAGTCACTTTTATCTTTTTGAAATGATTCCAAACAACATATGTTAATTTCCTTTTTACACCAACAATAGCATTGGGGGCTTGACTAGGTGAGTCTGAATCATCAACCAAATTTTCATTAGAATTTTGAGCAGGATATTCAACAGGTGACTCACTTGGAGAACCAATTGGAGTTGATAAAGCTAAAGTTTGAGAGTGTTCATGTTCAACCCCAATTGGAGATTGATGAGAGAGAGTCTGAAGGGTGAAAGCGACAGCGATGGCGATCGGCGACGATGACGAAGGTCAGAGGTCGGCGAATCGGCGTCCGCGATGAAGACGAAGTCTCTTCCTTAGTTCTTTGGCCTTTGTCGAGACTCGAGACTCGAGTATCTCTTCCTCTCCTCTGTTCGATGTCCGACGGGCGAGTGGGCAGTGGTGACAATCAACGACGGTGATCGGCGAATTGGCAACGAAGATGAAGCTAGGGCTTACTGGTTCTGTGGTTCAGTCGCCTCACGCCTCTCTTGAGTCTTCACTTTGTCAAAGAACGAAGACTTAATTATTTGAGGGTTAAGGTTTTCTAACTTTTCTTGGAATTCTGTTTTAGTTTTTACTGTTTTATGAATAATTATACTTATATAATATAATATAATATTAATCGGGAATGGGTCGGGGCGGGGATTGCATTCCCCGTCCTCGTCCACGTCCCTGATTGGGGATTCATGGGTAGCCCCATCCCTGACCCCAACCCCATCGGGTCGGGGAGCCCGGGTACTCGTCGGGGATGGGGAAAATTGCCACCCCTAAACCCACCCATGAATTTTGATAAATAATACTTGATTGGCTACCAGGTTTATGATTCCAGCTGACTAGTCAGATGTTTTTCAGATATGATAACTTTTCCATATCATAGTTGAAGCCTTTTTTATATTGGAAGGTAGTCTCCTTATCCCTTTTATTTTAGGGTAAAATACAAAAACTTTTCTTAAAGTTTTTGACAATCATAAAAATCTTCCCAATAATTTTACTTTAACAAAACCTCCCTTGAATTTTTAAAGAATTCCACAAAACCTTCCTTTCCTCAATGATTCAGACGAAAAATGTCTATATTTACGAAATTACCTTTGAAACGTCATTCAATGAATTTGTAAAATACCTTATTTGCCCTCAATCGAACATCTTATTCACATTTGTTGTTTATTTTGTCAKAGCAAAAAGAAATCAAAAGAATATAAACCCTTACAATTGCATGGCGCTATTTCCATTTTTTCAAAATATTCCATCCATTTTTGCAACAACTATTATTCACCATATACTTGATCGGAAAGTGTTCTCTAACTCGTTATTTATATACTATTCATCATCTCTCAGATGCTATGACATTTCTGTTGTACACCTTCCTACCCCCATACATGTTAGAATGGATGAAGGAACAGGAGAAATGCCTTCCTCCCCCATCCCCCACCTCAAAAGGAAATACAAGTCAACAAATCAAAAGAAAACAACAGCCTTAAAATAAAGATTTTAGCATTTTAGGAATGACTGAAACTGGTGGCGATGGGAATGATGACCAATATGATGAGAATTTGGAGTAAAATCAACCCCACACACATCCACTTCCTGTTGTTCTTCTTGAGACGGTGGAATTCCAAAAGAGGAAAAAAGAGGTTGGTCAGAGCGGAAGAAAATAAGGTAAATTTCTTAAACTATTCTTATTATTTAACTAATTGACTAATTCTACCCTTATTGTTTAATTATTGACTTAGTGTATCCTTAAATTTTCTGACAATCGACTAAAACTTTTCCTACCGTTAACTTTCTGTCATACTCAATCACATATAACATCATGTGACCAATATTTTTTCCAAAAGTCCCGAAAATACCCTGTTTTTCAAAAACCCCGGCCACTACTGACAGAATTCCACTGTTGTCCAAAACCCCTCGGCCACCACTATTGTCCAAGAGCGAACAGTCAACATGCTATGTTCTCCTTCTTGCATAGGGAGAACAGAGAATTCATTGCTTGTGAACCCCTGTGCTTTTGCTTTTTCGGTTTTTCCTTCTAACTTCTTTCATCTCTCTCGATCCATCGAACACAATGGATCAACAAACATTCGACGAATTGATCTTCTGCGACCTAACTTGCCTGTCGGAACTAAAGTTGGAGGAGTTCTTGAGGCGAGTAATGGCGCCGAAGACCGACGAGAATGAGAACAAGAGCAAAAGAGGAGAGAGCTAGAGAAGATAACATCCATAGAGCGAGAAAATCTGGCAAAACTGACGGCTTCTCCAAAGCCATGCTCTCTGTGCCATAAGCGATAGAGAACATGATCGTTGTGCCGGAAGCGACAGAAACAAGGTCGTGCGGGCTGAGCCCCTCAAAATTTTCAATCGGCAAAGCTGCTTCTATTGAAATGGGGAAGTTGCTTCCCCACCGGCGATGGAGAATAGAGGGATATAGGAGAGTAGGACGGGAACCAAAGGGAAGTTCTTTGAAATTCACAGTCAACGATAATAAAACAAGGGAGAGAGAGAGAGAGAGAGAGGACCTAGTGCGAAACTGACTCACACCATCGCTGTCAGTTGGTTACATCCAATGAGGCTTCGTCTCAGGTCTCTATGCATTATACAGAAATGAAGAAGATCATGTTCAAGGCTTCGTCTTTGGTCTTTGGTTTTTGTTGGGCAGTGTTGTTGACCGGCGAGTTTAGGACTTGGAGGCATTAAAAGAGCACTCAAAGTTCGCGTGCGAGACGGACCTGCCAGTGTTTTCTTCGCCTTGAGACAGGAAGCTTTGACGGAGCCAATGGCCATCGGTGGCCATTCAAACACAGTTTCGAACAAAAAGGTGATTCATAGCAGTAATGGGAATATTACGAGAGAAGATTGAGGATATGAATGGTGGAGATGGGTTAAATGGCAACGAAGGTATTAGCTCGAACAGCTTCTTCAATAGTAGTGGTGATGGTGACGAGGACGGCGATGACGATGATGGCGAGGACAGCTTCTTCTTCTTCTTCTTTTTCTTCTTCTTCTTTTTCTTCTTCTTCTTTTTCTTCTTCTTCTTCTTCTGTAGAAATGGAGATTGCGGCAACATGCTCATTAAAAACACCGGCAACAGCGAAGAACATCGCCGGATCTGCACTTCTCTTTTTTTTCTTGTGCGTTTTGGCCAAACAAAGCAGCAGATCGAGCAGCGACGGATCTCCCCTGTTCATCTTGTTGAAGCTCTCCGAAAGCTGGCAGATCCGCCACTACTCTTTGTCGCTTGGTCTGACCAAAACACACAGCAAAGCAGCAGCGGATTTCCTGTGTGTTCTGTTATTCTATCCATGAACCCAACAAACGATGGAAAAAAGGAGAGAGAAAGAGGGAGAGGTCGATGGGGAAAAGAGAGAAAAATAAGGATTGTGAGAGAAATAGATCTAAAGGGTAAAATAGTCTTTTACCTTTTGTTAACGGGAATTAAGGGGTATTAACGGTAAGCGAAATATTAGTCAATTGTAAAAACAGTAGGGGTAGCATAAGTCAATTTTCAAACAATAAGGATATATTTAGTCAATTCACTAAATCATAAGGATAGTTTAATAAATTTAYCCAAAAAAATAATAGGTCGATTTCAGTATAAATGTATGCAAATTAATTTACAAAATGGTAAAATGGGTATTTGGAATGACGTTTTCTGTTTGGGTCATTGACTAAAAGAAGGTTTTTGTCAAGTTCTTTAAAATTTTAGGGAGGTTATTGCTAAAAAAACTATAAGGGAGGTTTTTATGATTGTCATAAATTTGAGGGGAGGTTTTTATATTTTATCATTTATTTTATATAAATGTGCGATGAGTTCCTGTTACTTTCTTTAACTTTTGAATTTGTTGGAGCAGCTCCCGTCGCTGGAGAGAGGAAGAGGAAGAGGAAAGTCAGGAAAGAGAGGTTACGCAGGAACAAAATGGTAGGTTTTCTTGTTTATTCTAGCCCAGATAAATGATCGATCATGTCTATCTTCTTTCGTTAAGTTTTTGTCTGTAGAACTAGCGATCGATAAAATGTGTCTTGCTCTTTAAATTTTCTTACAAATTGCTTGATGCATATTATCAATTGGCACTTGTACCTGATACTGAGTTAGGGTTTTGATAAGTTCTGAGTTCATTTTTTATAGTTCTACGTCTCTGGTTAAAACCATTGATCATTGTATCATGTTTAACTACTTCCGTAGATGCCATCTTTACTCTTTAGGAAGCCAAACCTCACTTTTCTCTTACTTTAACTTCACTGGTTTAGTCATCTTATCATTCTTTTTCTGTATTTACACGTAAATAGAAATTTAGACATCCTTGGTTGGCAGCTTTGTTAAGTTGAATCATGTAGAAATGTAGACACCCATTGCCTTTTTTTGAGTGTTGTAGTTGTAGATTGTAAGAAGAGTTTGAGGAGTAATCATGCCCCCCAGTTGCAGAGTGACGGTGGGAAAGGGTTCCTTGATCATTTTGGTGAAATTGATGGGTTACATACATAAATTACACGTATAATGCATTAAAATCGAAATGCACTAAGCGCCGGTGTATATTTGATTAGTCTAATTTGAATGTAATTTGTGGCCTATCCTCTATGGAACCGTCAAGTTTGTTTTGTTCCTTGAGCGAATTAGTATTCTATTTCTGCTAAGCGCAGATCATGCGGCAATGCTTATATGAAAAACGCTGAATACCTTGGTTATTCGTTTTGAACCAACATATGGATCAAACACAATTTCAGCTCATTAATAGTGAACAGCAATATAGGTTGCACCACGTGATCAGAAATTCGTAGTAATGCTTCATTTTTTTCTTACTTGTAATGTTTATTTCTCTTGATTCTTTCTGATAGTTTTTGACATATAAGCAGTGTTTCATGGACATGGGCACGGGAATCAGAACCTGGCATGTGTCCAGGAGTCTGGCTAAGTGAACCCAAAAAACTAGGATTCATAGACACATCTCACATAAATAATATTTTATTTATACATAAAAAATTATGAATTTTATTCTTAGAATCCAAAGAACTTGTAAATATAACAACTTAAATAGCTAAATTACAATTTACCTCACAAGCTTTGCCTATTTGTCATGTTGCCGCACTAATTGCTTTCATTGCTTTCCTCATTTTAATGTTAACTGGAAAAGATCCAATAAATGATGTGTTGTAAGTTATGGGTAAACTGGAAGAATACAAATGCTAGGGTCACCTATTGAACAGTTTAAGTGGTTCAACCACTGTTATATAGAGATGTATTGAAAGCGAGGATTTGTAATTTTGGAGAGTCAACACAGCAGACATTTTTTGGCAAATCTGCCTTTGCATTGTAGCYGAGTCCAGCACATATTTATAAGATCCAGATCAATCAACTCATGGTCATGGACACATGTCAGTTGGCGTGTACCCTTCAAAAGGTGGTGTGTCCATGTAATGCTTTCTATAAATAGAAACTTTACAGAAATCCCTAGTACCTTTTCTCTGTGATATCATGTGAAATTCCTTGTACTCGATTTTTATGATATTTTAATTTTTAACGTATAAACTAAAACCTTCCTGCTTTTTTTTTCTTTCCCCCCTCTTTCTGAAGATAAGTTGAAGAGGTGCAAGTAAGGATTCAAGAATTAGCATTTGCTTTGGATTTGGGTAGCACCCTAGTGATGGAGTTCTGTTCAATGGTTGAACCACAATTATGTTTACAAGTATTTGAGTTGGTCCAATTGAGTTGATTATATTATTATCTACTTACATTGGTGTTATATGAACTGCTAACTGAGAAGAAAAGATTGTTGAAAAAAAAAATACTCCTACAATCAAAAATTGTTTCCCATATCAAGTGTAGTGGCCCGGGAAGGAAATTGAAGAATGTACTAATTTGAGGAAAAAAATTAGTATGACTTATGGAGTTTTTCTTTATCTTATTTCTCTCTAAAATAGGAATGTAGTTGCCACCTGTCCTCAATCACAACTAACTAGGTCAACTGCAGTGATCCCTCGCCTCAAAATGAATGCACCCATTCAAATATGAAGTGTCAACCTGGTAAAGCAGAAGCTATAGATTTAGTTAACAAGTTGCTCTGGTTGGGCAAGTACTTCAATTGTTATTATTAGAAGCATCTTTTGTTTTTCTTTGTTAAAGAGATAAGTTGCTTTACTGGCAGAAAGTATTTGAATCAAGAAGAAATGTCATGCAATAAATGCAACTAGGATCTCCTTTGTTCCAGAAAAGGAGTAATGTGGTAAAGCATTTTTAAGTATCAAAGTTAGTGCTGAAGGGGTGCTCTATTAACACTATTTCTCGATCTTCTAGAACAGACTTGTGATGGTAAAATCATAATTTTGAACTGACGTGAATAGTAGTTAATTCTTGTGATGGCAAAATCTTGGGCTGACAAATGTGAGAATCTTAGTAGTTAGTTCTAGTCTGAGGACTGCCATTTTGTGAAAAATTGGTAGTTAGGTTTTATCCAGTACACCCTTCCCAAGACCTTGGATAGTCAGAACCAGCATGGAGTAATGGCTTCTTTCTTCATGGTTGACATGCAATCCGAGGCGTTATGCAGCTTTTCTTTAAATTAGTTAGGTTGTGTTCTAAACATCGCACACTTGGGACAGGTCGACCTGATTGCATGATCCCAATCATTATAATCTCTTTTGTCATATCTTTATACGGGACTTAAGATTTTGAGTTTGTTTCAGTTCAAAACTTAAGCTTATTTTATATGTTATTCCAAGCTGTGGTTTCTATGGCTATTTTTCAAGTATATATGTTTTGTAGGATAATCTTATGAGTTTTGGTGGCAGGATGGACACGATTCAGAAGATCCTAAGCAAAGCACTGCAGATATGACAGTTTTTGTAAGTTCCTTAAGATTTTATATTATGAATACTTGGTTTCTATGCCTCCTTTTTTCTTTGTGGGAGAGGGGGTTCCAAATGCCCATTATCTGGCCTTGAGGATGGACTTGTCATGATTAAGTGGCCCGTCTCAGAATATAAAGGTTCTCCTTGTCAACTGTCAATCGGGTTGAGAGCCTTGAGTTATGTTACTGCATATTTTGCATAGTCAAGCTGTTAGATTAGGAGATTTCCTATGTGTGTCCCAAATAGACTAAGAACATTGATTGTCATTCTACTGCATTCTTTCTTTCCATAGTTGTTGGATTAGGAGATTATCCATGTGATTCCTACCAAACAGTTGCTATTGTATCTGCACATACCTTTTTTTTTTCTTTTTTTTGCTTCATGGGACTACACAATGGGGAGTAGCCCATCCTCCACTCCCTTAAACCCGCCAACCCTGGTGGCAGCAAGATTTGATCCCAGGTCTCTRCTAGGAGTCAGAGATCCTACCAACTGAGCCACCATCAGTTGGTGTGCATTTTCAATTTATGGCATCCTAAAAGTCTTTAACTATTATTTTTGGGTCCCCAAGGGGAGTGGTCCAGTATAGGATAGCCAAATCATGGTGTACTGTGTACGGGTGTGCCAAATGGGTCGGGTTCGGTTGGGAATTTATTAAATTTTCAATGGGCCCAAGCCCTAACCTGAACGTGATGTAATTGGAATTCTTCAAATTGGGCAACCTGACTTGCAGCCCTAGTACCGGGCATATATCTATGTATACCTTGTTTATATTTTTATTCTTTCAATAATGATCAACAAAAATGATCAGTTACCAATAAAATAAAGATAAAAAGTTTAAACATTAGGAAACTAATTATTGAAGGAGACTCCAAGCTGTTTGTGGGTTGAGGAAGCAAAGTTGTGGAAGTACAATAATGAAAGAAAGAAGTTCAGGTGGTTGACAAAGGACATGGAAGTGAGGCTCCATTGGGTCAAAAAAGTGCTAATTCTTTAGCAGATGCCTTAGCCATGCAAGGGGTGGGGAGAGATCAATTCTTTCGGGTACAATTGTGAGAAAAAGGAAGAATTTTTAGGGGAGAGAGAAGTGATTTTATCAATCATAACTTTGTATTTTCACTCTATACTCGGTTTATATTTCGTCATTAATAAAATTCAAAGTTATTGATAAAAAATAAAATAAAATAAAGATGTGATTGATGCAAAAGAAAAAGTGAAAATCACATTCACTTGAGGTTCAAATTTATTTGGACTTTGGAGAAAAAGCTTGCATTGCCTGCGACTGTAGTCACTTAACAACTCAGCAATCCCAGTGAAAAATAAACACAACACTGTTTTCAATAAATCAACACATTACATCAGGTAGTTTTTAATTTCAAGCGGTTTCATGTTCACATTTCACTGGGGATTGCTGAATTGTTCTGCAACGACGGTTGCAGGTAATGTTTTCTCTCGGAGAAAATCGTTATTCTGTTTGTATCATGCATATGCTTACTTGTTTATTGGGTTTATTAGAGCATAGCTTTGGGCTTAACTGTATATTTTACTTGTTTTTCCAGGTGCAAAACCTTCTTCGACAGATGGTGAGTTTCTTATCCCATGTGTTTACACTGCTATTTACACCTGGAGTCCCCATCACCTATATTTCTTTTAGACTTCTCATTTGTTACTAAAATGTAGTTGTGGTCTTGCAGCAATCCAGATTCCAGACAATGTCTGATTCCATTGTCTCAAAGAATATCCTTTTCTATATAAATTCTATTTTCTCAAAGAATACCAGGGGCAACTTCATTATTCTGATGGACATGGTAAGAAGTCTGGTAGATAGGTAACTGCTTGGTGTGCAACTTGGGTCAGGTAAAAGGGCCATTAGTCTATGCTGGTACTGGCTCTCGGGGCATTCTCCTGAGATATGATATAAATGTGTTGCGTATGCCGGGTGGGGGGTGATCACTGATCAGGGCTGTAATCCAGTGGGTCTCTCCCTGATGACCTCCCAATCAAAAATTCAGTTTTCACAAAAGCATTCTAGTCAAAATTTCCTTCATTTCATTAGAGTTCAGATGACAAACAAGTAATTTAAATTTAGTTTTTGGCACTGAGAATAATGTGAATGGAGAAGATGTCCTTGGTTTCTTTAACTGCAGTGCACTCGATGAGATGGGTCACCGAATAGATGAGCTGGAGCAAAGCATCAACGACCTAAGAAACGAGATGGGTACTGAGGGCTCTCCTTCCCCTGTTGCTCCTCCTAAGCCAAATCCGGAAGAGGCCAAGTCATCAGATGTCCCTGCGTGATACACTGATACTTGGATCGTACTATGTGAAATTTGAAGGACTGAGTCCACCCACCCAATGCATTGTTTGTTTGTGTTCACAGGATTCTTTGAAAATTCAGTACTGCTTTAAAGTTTAAGCCACACATGTATGTGCCAAATTTTCTGGAGAATCCACTCCCAACACTTGAATAATATCTGTTTGTCAAAATTTTGCAGAGACAAAAACTGAGATTTGGAATTTGGATGATGTGCCAATCTGTGATTAGGGCCTAATAAGTTTTATAGGTAGTAGCCTATCTGCCAATTGTCAAGTGCCCATTTGGCCATGAATTCAGCCAAGCAGACCACACTTGACTCAGTCGTAGGCGACACGATCAAACTCCCCCATTTTTCAATATCTGAAGCATGAAGAGGAAGAATTATTTTTGGCCTAATTAGGATGAACTCTGTCTGATATGGGAGAGTACACATGAATATGTGGGGTATTCCATTTCATGGTCAGATTGAATATTTGAATTTTTCATACAGCACATATGGCCAAGGAGCTGATCAAAGTGGAGCATGAGTAGCAGAGCATCCAGTTGGTGGGCCACCTGTTAGGTGTGATTTGAAATGGAATAGGCCCAAAAGTCGAGAGTTTCCAGGATCTTTCCTCAAATCCTAACTTCCACGCATGTGGCGTGTAAAGTTRGAAAATTTTCCGTTCATCAGAGGCCTCATGGGCCAAGGCTGGCCGTTGGAAGTGTCGGTTGGCCCGACATGTTCCATCTCCCATGCCCTACACAGGCTCTCTTTTCGTGCAATTGATTTAGGTACCCTGCCCATATCAAAGTAGGTTACCCGCATCTCTATATGTACTCCTAATCTGACGTTAAAATAGGCTATGCTGACGTGTTATCCCTACTGAATCAAATTCCGTAATCAGCAATCATAGCGTTGAAATTGGAATAGAAGTTTTAGTCCAAAATTAAGGCTATGTTTGGTAAACATTACTGTTTATATCTTAAACGTTTAGGGTTTGATCAAAACAAATTGACATATAGGCCCCGTTTGTTTACTGTTATTTAATTTAATTGCGGTAAGTTGGTGATCCATATTGGGTCTTACACTTAAACAAAGTTTCCATAAGAATAATAGTTATTTGGGTAATTGATGGTAAAAGCAAACTCGGTAGAAAGGGGCATTACCGGCATAGTAGTTCAGTTTTGAAATGGCCCAATTTTCTGCATGATAACACAAGAGTACATAACTAGAATTTTCAGCCCAATTCTAAATGGACAAAGAGAAGCAGCCAAAAACATTTAAATAGAAGGCTCTCCAAACAGAGAACTCGTCCTCAGCTTTTAATAAGAAGTTAAGAACCTCCCTTTTAAAACAGCTTTTAATTTAATTTATTAAGGAAAGTAGAAAGGACTGATTAGTAACAACTCATTTTGTGAAAGAAAAGACTAAACAACTAACAACTATCTCTGTAAATAATTTGATCATGTAAGAGCCCACTTTTAATAATTGAGTGGGCAATGTGTCAAATATTGGCCCCCACAGATAGTTGGCGTTGATTTTGTAGGTGTTATGCCTCCATCATTAACAACCCCCACTACCACATAAAGAAATTAAGCAGCATCTTTCCTTTTTTTTTTTTTTTTTTTGATCAATATTAAGCATCTTTCCTGATTAGATCAGGGCCAGAGAAATTTGCTTGAGCCTTGAGTGAAATCCCAAAGCACAGATTTTTTTTAAAGCAAAGGATATCACAGAACGCAATAGCAGCCGTCGATTCTTGACAAACATTGATTGTGATTTTGTGATTTAATCTAAAAAATAAATGATTTGTGGGTCCATTGCCTCATCACCGTTACAGATTTTCTTTTTCATTGTCCCCCACATCCATGATGAATGACAGATTGACAGAGACAGAGAAAGTTTCCATAAGGATGAGGTAGAGGTTACCAATTATCATTCCTGATCACAAAAGAAGGAATAGATTTTCAAATTTTCAAAAATGTTTCTTAGAACTATTTTGCTGCTACACCTTCTGTACTGTCTAAAATCTAAATATAACCCAAAACTAATAAATGCGTGTATCCTACTTAAATTTATCTTCGTATTTGTGGTCATTATTAGATTTAGATCCCTAATTTTGAGCTCTCCACGCGTCAACCCTATCACCTCTGCTCCTGGAAAATAGTCAAAACGGCTTCTTTCATGGATTTTCACTTGCCAAAGCAAGCTTACTTCTTGCTTAAAAACTTGAGGAAGACGAATTAATGGTGTCCACTGTCCACTGTTCTGTTCCTGATTTCTATATAGATTTGCTTAAGATAGAAAAAAAAAAAGAAATCCACTTTTTTCTGCCTTTTCCTTTTCTTCCTCCACTCTTCCTATTCTTTCCTTCACCATACCTTTTCCCCTCGACTACAGTGGAAGAAGGAAGAGAGAAGAATTCAAATTTCAAACAGAAAAACAAGTTCCAGCACAAACCCATAACTAAAAGAAATGGCATTAATTCTATGGTAGACACAGACCCGCTAGATAGAGGGAGATGGACATCAATGAACACATCTCAGAATACCATGAAGAGAAAAACTGTTTTTTGAACTGTTCTATATGGATTTTAGACTGCCTAAACTCCAAAAACCCATTAATCCTTTCAATGTGCAGAGCAAAAGAAAAGATGATCTATATCAAATTATAAACAACAGAAACAAAAAAGAAGAAATATGTAAGTGAATAACAATGATGAAAAAAAAAGAATGTTTTACACAAGCAGCCAATTATAGTTATAATAACACCTCCAATATAATTCAAATCAAACACCCCCCTCCCCACCAGCTTCCTCCTCTCCTCTTCCTCTTGTATAACAATTAACAAACACCCCCATTAAATCCCAGAATAAGGATCAAAGAAATAAGTGAAAGGAAAACACAGAACTAGCTCCGGCACCGAGTGATGGCGCTGCAACCTCGGTTGTAGGGATTGGCTTGAGCTCCGGGTTTGCAATTGTAGTAAGATGCACCGCGTCGGGAGCAGGGTACAGTGTTGCGCTGCAGGGCTCCGTAGCTGATGTACTGGCTGGTTGCTAGAATGCGGCGGTTGATCTCGGAATCCATTTCGAACTCGTTGCCGCCGGCCATGCACTCCTCCATGGAGCCTTGGCAGGTCGATCTCGTCGGCAGCCAACCCAATTGGTACTCCCCGCTGGCATCAATGGTGGTAGAAGACGAGATAAGTAGAGCCGTGACGAAGACGACGAACATCACGAAAAACCCAGAAGAAGTCGCCATTGTCCTGTTCGGTTCCAAGCTCTTCCCTCTTCTCTCTCTCTCTGTCCTTCGCTGCTGCTGTGACATGAAGGATGGGCAGCCAGAAAGAGTTATAATGTAGTTCTACACAAAAAATTGACATTCATTTGTTGATTATTTACGAAAATGACACTTGATTCCTTCGTTTAGACTTCCTTCATGGGCACCCACTAACTAAATTAAATAAGAAAAAATGTCAGATGTAAAATTAAATTAAAAAATTATAATTGGTGGGTGCTGACTGCTGATTAATTGAATCAACACTGATGGGTTGGCTCTTACAATAAAATTAGACTTAAATTATCAAAATCAGAAAATTGAATTCAAGGATGAGATCAGACTGATTCACTGTCTGAGGGGCAATTTCGTAATAAAAATGAAAAATGTGGTTGTTAGATGGTGGGCTTAAGAGGGGGATTTAGTTGACCGAAGATTAATATTAAATTGTCATAAAAATTATAAAGAAAAAAAAAAAAAAAAAAAAAGAAGAAAGAATTGGGAAGAAGGCGGCAATGGCATCTAGGGCTTGCGAGTTGCGCCCTTTCCCGAATCCCAGATCCGTCCAAGAATCGGTTAACCGAAACACGTCTGACATCTCCTCCCATTATACCCTACCTTTTCCGTTACCGTTAACACGCTCGCCGACGTCGCCGTTAAGTTTAAATCCAACTTTTAACTGTTTGAACGGATGGGATGTGCAAGTGTACCATGGATCTTCATGCTGCTCAGTCAATCCTCCGTGCACGTGGAGCTAATCGTTCAATCACCAGGGTTTTGGTGCTGGATATTCAAGTGGGGACTGTGGGTGTGAATCCAAAATCCATGATGCGGGAAATATTTTTTAGATAACATATCTTTTTTATATCATAGTCGAATACGTGTTAGGATAGACGGTCTGGATCTACTAGAGTGTCATAAAAAAATGAAAGAAAATTGTAGACCCCAAAGATGGCTTGTTGGATGATGATAAGCATCTGATACAAACAAACGTATTTCCTTTTTCTGGGTGGGGGACAGCTACCGTATGAATAGTCAAAGACCCATATCTGCGCGACACGTGGAATATAACGGGATAGCTAAGACGACCATGATGTGGTGGATCACAGTTGGCAATTTTTTTGGGTAAAGATCACAGTTGGCAATTTTTTTGGGTAAAGATCACAGTTGGCTATAGTTATCATCTTTCTTTTCGTTTTTTTTTTTTTGGGTAAAGCAAGAGGAGCTATAACAGCGGGCCCATCCCCCAATGGCCCAACCCATAACCATAAGCCCCTACAAAATACATTAACACACTTCTACGCAAACACACTTGATGCATTTTGGGTGATTTATGATTTCTTTTATTTCACATTTTGTACAAAAGATCTATAGTAGTTTTAATGAACAAGAAAAAGGTAACAAAACAAGGGAGAAAATAATCCAAAGATAATTTTGTTATATAAAAGTTAATTAATAGGTAAATTGGTTGGTAAAGGTTAGTTTTGTCATTAAAAATAAAAATAACGGATATCAACCAATTTTATTATTTATACGTTTATATGTCATACAAAATATATATTTATCTTGATTTTGATGAGGGCTATAAGAATTAAATCCAAACATCATAAATCATAAATGATTTGATTAATGCATATTTGTCTAACTATAGCATGTGCTCTTATAAAATGCTACTTGATATAAGGTATATATATCAAATTAAAGTGTATAAGAGGAGGCTCTCTGAAATGTTGGAAAAGTCTGAATAACTTTAAAAAATGTTAGAAAAATGAAAAAAAATTCAAATAATAACCTAAAAGTGACTAAACCTGTTCATGGGTTGGGTCGGGCTTTCACTTTGTATTAACAGATTTTTCTAAGGCCTGAGTCCAAATTTTAGCCCATATTGTTATTACTGCTGAAGTAGCTGAATAGTGGGAGAGAGTGAGAAAGAGAGAGATTATAAAGAAAAGAATAAAAAATGTATATATTAAATTATAAATATATATATTTCAATAAATATTATATTATTTATATATTTTAATATATAATGCTGAGTTAGGCCGAGCTGGGCTCGAGCCGGGCTTTTTTGACAAATCCCGAGCCCGACCCAAAACATAGTCAGGCTTACTGTGTTAGGCCCGAAGTCTAATTACATGACCAAGCCCGACCGGGGTGCGGGCCGGGCCATTGGGCTACCCGGCCCATGAACAGGTCTAAGAGTGACCAGACAAAGCCAAACTTAGGATACACAAGGTTAGGGGCTACAAAATCATAGAGAATATATGGACRTATAGATAGAAAAGTACTTTTATTATTGGAAGAAACAGTTTACATTGGAGGGCCTCAAAAAAGTTGAAAAGTCCTTCCGCCTTTCAAGTTGTCCCCATTAAGGTAAGAAAATTAGTGGCATCAGATATTTTAATCATTAAAAAGATTTAAATTAATTACGTTAAAGATGTCACAAGATTTTATCTACAGATCAATGCAGATTTTTGAATTTCACTGCAGATCTATAAATATTTAAAATGTCAAATACCCACATTCTATGCATCAATACTTGTCGGTAGATTGGCAACAATTCCGAACTAACACCTATCCTAACATTGGGCCTAAAAATTCTGACCCTGAGCTGAACCATCATTCTCCCTCTTACGCAGATAAAATAAAAAAAAAAAAATAGCATTGATTATATTGATATATATTCTGCCCAGTTTTTTGATATAAGGCTTATCAATATTTTGATCTTTGGCCTTTTTGGCGAGTGGAGAAGAGAAAGGGGATTAATGGTAACTTAGGGAAATTATTAATAGAATATTTAAAGGGGTTTGTTTTGAAGTTTTTGGGATTAATTAAAAGTTAGAAGAAGTTATAGATATAAATTTCGATAAGAAAAAGGAGAAAAACATGTAATAAAATAAAAAAGAGGGAACGGCGCGTTATCCGCGTAAAGAAGAAGAGGCGACGTTGGTTGTTGTGTCGTGTTGAGACCTGATAGTGGGGCCCAGCGCAGATCGCTAGGGCGGTGTTTGCGCGTCTACAAAAATGGAAAAAAAAAATTATAAAACTTTGGGCAAGCCAGCTGTCGTCGTATATTAAATTTATTACTATTAATTAATGCAAATTACTATCAGAACAATTAATCGTTTCACGTAAGTGGAATTAAAAATTTAAAAAGAAAAAAATAAATTCATGCACGACTGTTGCTCAGTGGATGCTGACCGCTCAGGCCGGAGGTCAACATGTCAAATTAGAAGTTTGGGTGTGTTTGGAGTTGAGTTGTGAGATTTTAGGGGAATAGTTAATTAACTGGTAAGCCGTATGTAGTAGTGGATTGGATTGGATTTTAGCTGTAGAAATTGAGATGCTTGGTAAAAGAGAAATAGGTTGACTTGTTTTTCCCACCGAGTTGGTTTACATCTATTTTTAATGATCATCGTTCTTTAATTTCTTTTAACAATTTTGATTTTTTCATTTGTTATTTGTTTTCTAAAATCTTCATTTATAATACAATACTCCCTTATTACAATTTATTCAGTTAAAATCAGAATAAAATGAATCAAAAATTTTAAAACCAAAATTTATACAAAATTAGATCGAAACCAAAAAAATGAAAAACTGAAATAACCAAAAAATTGTATATTTTAATATATAATTTATTATATATATTAATATATTATATAAATAATAAAGTTCAATTAATTCAATATTTTTGGTTAACCAAATTTTCAAACCTGAAAACCAAAATCAAAATCAAAATTTTCAGTTCATTTTTTCAGTTTTAAGTGAACAATGCACAATTCCATTAATCTGTTATTGTTCCCAATTGTACAAATAGATAAAAATTTATGAGGTGGGGGGAATTTGAAAATTTACCCTTTTTTCTATTATTGTCTCGGCTTTGCATCTCTATCATTTGGGTGGATATCAATGAATTTGACTTTCTCCAAATTTGCACCTTACAAATTTGTATTCGTATTCCAACCAAACGCAGTTTAAGGGAATTAATTCAGTGACGGTGGCTTTTAACTAATGCTCAATTGGCTATGAGTACAAATATAATGTTTGGGTATATAGTATACAAGGTTTTGCATTGTACATATTTGTATTTATGCTCTTTAAACTGAGCGTAAACCTTGTAATATCAAAAGTTTTTTTTTTTTTTTTTTTCTGTGCTACAACATTGTGGGCTAGGGTGTCAATTGGATTGGATTTGGTCCAATCCGATCCWGTACAATGTAAGTCCATTAGAAATGGACCAGGTCCAATCGAATCCAATGAATATTTTGGATCGGTCCAATTCAATGTCTAGACCGTTCAATATGTTCAAATTGGTTTTAATTCAAACCTGGTCCATTGATACTTAATTATATTCTTATCTTCTATCAATGGATCAGATATTGACTTAATCCAACCCAATCTAATATAAATTCATTACAAATGGATCAGATCCAATCCAATCCAATAAATACTTTCAACCATTAAATTTAGACTAGTCCAATTCAATATTTTTTGTTGGTCTGTCCAAATTGATTTTAGTTTAAACGGGGTCCAATCCTAAATCGGTACATTGATACCTCTAATTGCGGGGCTAACGTCACCCTTAGAATTCACGGAACCTAACATATAAAGTTGTATTCTCAACTTCTCACCATCAGTATGATAATCGATGTTCTAACCCCAGTCAAAGTCAAAATTCTTAATTCTTTCATTTTATGATATTTCTCATTCAGATTCATGTAAGACGGAACAATTTAGATCTATTGTTTTAAGTTGGGAGTCATCTAGCAATATTCAAAAGTAAAAAAGTAAGAGTGATGTTGCAAAGGGCTCAAAGTTGAAGGATGGAGAATTTTTAGCTCAATTCTGAACCATTGATTAAGTGGAAGATCACAGTGATCAGGAACCACCACCATTGAAGGGTAAGCGCGTCTTATTATTTTCATGCAAAATCATGTAGATGATATTTTGCATGCATTAAACTAAGTCAGTAGTTTTGTATTAACTAAACAAGTTAATACATGAAAGCTCCAAAAACATTCTAAAATTGATGTGATAGAGATAGAGCAAACATAATTGAATGGTGCTTACATACATGATGATATTTGGTACATACACAGAATGTTTAGATGGGACCTACTAATTAAAGGGGTGGGTGCCCATACCCAGTACCCTTGTCTTATAATAAAAAGTTGAGACTGAGACATGAATATATATATAGAAAAACAGGTTGGGAGCTGGGACTAATTTTGGGAGGGTGAAGAGAGCAAAGAGCACACCAATAGAAAAGAAGATACAGGTTTTGATTCAGCAATTCTAGCCAAAAGGATGGATACAACCTAAATGATAATACGGCCATCAATGTAATTAGCAATATACCCACATCCACGAATCATGAGGATAAATCAACCAAACCCAAACGCTTAAATGARGGTCTGTTTGGTTTATAATCGGAATAGTTTATTCCTATAATTTATTTGGTCCAGGCAAGAATGAGAATGAGAATTAAAATAAGCAGAAATGAGATTTCATTCCTAAGGGAAGAACATGGAATGGTCATTCCCTTAAATGGGAGAATGCCATTCCAGCAGAAATAAAAATGGGATTCCAATTCTATCTAACCAAATAGTTAGAATCCAAATAATCTATTCCGATTCCTCCCATTCCAGACTTCCATTCCTACAAACCAAACGGACCCTGAATATCTACGCTTTCTCTCAATACATAAAGAAAGGGACAGCTCAGCTCAATGTATAAATCTTGTCTCAATGTGGGGTCTGAGGAAGGACAGGTGCAGACAAGCTTACCCTTACGCATATGAAAAAGCTGTTTCCAAGATTTAAACTTGGATCGCCCAAATTATAATAAAGCAATCCAACCATTGCGCAAGAGTACGTAGAGTTGAAGCGTGTGGGTACTGGCTACAGGGCATGGACGATCTTCACAAATGACAAATGACAAATCACAATCAGGTGGGGTAGGGCGCTTTTAGCTTTGACCACCACTGTCGATTTGCACGCGCATGTACCATGCATTCACCACCTTTTCGTGTTTGTTTGGACTAAATGAGTTGTTGGCTTCGCTTTGATTCAATGTTATTGTATCATGTTCATGATAAAAGATCAGAGAAGTGCTTTATTTTTTATTATTTTATATAATAAAATATCAATATATACCTTAGCAATGGTTCAGCAATTAACATTTAGGATCAGTTTTAGGGGGGTTCAACAACTCCTTTCTTTTATTTCCTTCGTGGGTGAGGACAGAGCGGTAGAGGTGTCGATTGGACTGGATTTGGTCCAATCCAATCCAGTCCAATGTGAATTCATTACAAATGGACCAGTTCCAATTCAATCCAATGAATAATTTTGGATTGGTCTAATTTAATGTTTGGACTGTCTAATTTGTTCAAATTCATTTTAATTTATCTTGGTTTTAACCTAAATCCAATCCATTGACACCTATATTCTTATCTTATATCGATGGACTAGATATTGGCTTAATCCAACCAAATCCAATATAAATTTTATTACAAATGGACCAGGTTCAGTCCAATCTAATAAATATTTTAGACTAGATTGATTCAATCCACTATATCTTTTCCAATCAGTCCAAATTGATTTTGGATTAGACAGGTCCCGTCCAAAACCAGTCGATTGACACCCTTACAAAGCAGCATGCATGTGAGATCCATTAACCTTACAATGGAAATCCTACAATTTTGGGGATCTGATCATATACCTTCATATTCAAAGGGATGTCAAGTGACCATTTACTATTGCTCACCGGTGGTTCAATAACAATCAAGCAGTACCGAGTATTGTATCGGACTAATTGAATATGGATACGGATACAGATACGCTTTGGAAACGCATGAATACGAATGAAAGATATAGAAACGCTTGGATACGCTACGGAAATGTATACAAATCGCATAATTACATTAATAATACTAAACTAAAAGTTGAATTATCTATGAATAAGATACAAAACATGAGAAATGCATGCTTCAATAGGTTATATGAAGAGAAATATTACAATAAACAATGTCCACACACTAGAACATTCAAAACTTCATATAGTAATTATCACTCTTTCAATTTTTATAATTATAATTTTAAATTTTTATTAATTTTTGGAAATATTTATTAATTTAGTATTTTTATTTAAATAATAACTCTTTTTTAAATAATAAATATATTTTCATTTAACATATAATTGTAAAATAAAACAAATAAATCATTTAAGGTAGATAAAATAAATTATTTATAATTTTTAGTTTTTATTAAATTTTTTGGGGAAATTAAATCTTAAATTATTCATTTCAGTTTTTATAATTATAATTTTATGTTTTCCATTAATTTTGTTGGGAAAATTAATTTATTTAGTATTTTTATATAATAACTATGTTTTCATTTTTAACATATAATTTTGTGTAAAATAATATATATATATATCAACTAAGGTATATGAAATATATTATATTTATAATTTTTAGTTTTTACTAAATTTTTTGAAAAATTAAATCTTAAATTATTTATTCTGGTTTTCATAATACTATTTTTTAATTTTTATTAAAGATGAAAAACAATCCAAAAGTAGTCAATATACAATTTTATCAAACTAGGCACAGATACGCCTCCATGTCAGTGCATCAGACCGATACGAAGACATATCATGCCGAAACACATGACTCATGAGATACGTATCCAATCATGGATACAAATTGCCCGTAGTGAGAGTATCTTATCGATACCCAAAGCTCAGGCCCAATATAGTGTAAAATCTTCAAATTGAAAACCCAACTTACAATCATATGCCGTAATAGTCTTCAATGCCCATAGTTATATCATTTATGGATTCGACTATGATACCGGATCAAAAGACATGATATTGGAAAAACTTGCAACAAATCAACTGGAATCATAAAAGTGATAATTAGGTGGGTTTTCATTAAAATTCATGGAAAACCTTTCTAATATCATATTTTTCCGGTATCATAAATTTTCTCATCATTCATAACTTCATATATCGAAACCCCAAGAAGATGTTGATAGTAGGTGGTCTTCACTACAGTTGCAAGAAATAAATTAACACCGATTGCTACATATGTATGTGATGCAATTAATTCTTGCTGGTTATAGAATTAGGGTTCCATCCAGCAATTAAAATACATAGTAATGAAAATTAAACAAGGGTATATATGCATGTCATACAGAAACAGCAAACTCAGAAACATATACTTTATATGACAACGACGCTAATGCAAACTGTTTCATAAATCATACAGACACAGCTAATAACAATCACAATAAAACCAGCTCACCACCCTTCCTTGTACAAGGACCAAGAAGGAAGACTAAGCACCACCTCCTTCTCTCTGTACAAGGAAGACTGGAAGAGCAGTTGCTGCTCTCCTATATCTTATTTTCTTCTGAATGAAATGTAAAGGAAGGACAACTAACTAGTTCGGCATTGAGATATTTTGCTGCAACCGCGGTTGTAGGGATTGGCTTGACCTCCTGATTGGCAGTTGTTGTAGTAGGATGTACCGCGTTGCGAGCAGGGAACGCTGTTGCCACTCTGAAGTGCCCGATAACTGATGTAATCGGTAGTTGCTAAAATGCGTCGGTTGCTTTCAGAGTCCATGTCGAATTCTTTTCCACCCAGGCACTCAGCGATTGTGCCTTGGCAGCTGGTTTTCAGTGGAAGCCAATCTAGTTTGCTATAAACCCCACTAGCCTCAACGCTGTAGGGTGAGGATGTAATCATCAGAGCACTGATAATCAAGGTGGCGACCACCATACAAAGCCCAGAGGAGTTTGCCATTGTTGTCTACTCCAAGCTTCTCCGTCTATCTCTCTGTGCAGAGAGGAGGGATGGGTGGTCTGGGTTTATAAGGACATTTGGGTTTGGGATTTGACATTGGTTTAGTACAACATTTGCACACTTGCCACTTGACTTGGTTATGGTATAAACTCTGGAATGAGTCTTTCAACAACCACTGTTATTAATTTCCTTTTGCTTGTTCTAACAAAGTGGGGAAGAACAATAAAAAATTAAAGGAAGAAATAAAGAAAGATGGGGTGTAAAGATGCCCAATTCAACGATAAGGCTACAAACAGCTTAAATTTAATCCCATTAAGGGTGACCCAAATTTGATCCATTTATAGTTGGATAAAATATGCTCATATATAATTAAAATTTAATAATATTGTATCTATCAATAAAGTTGTTTAAAATGTTATATTTTTATTAAATTTTCTTAGGTTCAAGTTTCATATAACTAATTTTCAATTAACTTTGTCCAAAAAACATAGTTCCAAAGTCCCTTTGTTCATTTTATTAATAAATACCCAATTACAATCTGAATTCGATTCAACATAATGGATAAGATCCAATTCGAATTTGAAGATAAATGAATTAAATTTGGGGATTCATTTGGCAGCCCTATTCAATGATTCATGGACTCGATTCCATGCAGTTTCATCTTTGGCTGTTGTTGGGTCTATTTTTGGAACGAGGATGATGATAACTTTTCATGGTGTTACATGTAACATAAGCTTATCAATGATCTAAATCACATATTATTAACTTTCTTTAGTATAGATTGGTTAAATTTGATATTCAATTATATTTGTGGAAGGAGAAAAGGAGTTTGAAATACTACTGATGAATGTTGTTAAAACGTCAGATTATTTGGTAGGGTTAGGTTTGATTTATGTGATTAAACCAAATAGTAGTTTTGCTTTTGCAAATTATTGCAATTACATTAAACAGCAGAAGGTGACACTTGCACTGTTGGTAAGTGGTCCAAAAGCTAAGAGGAATTGTAGTTAATATGACTTCACTTAAAATTGATTAATAACTAATGTAAGGATTGGGGAATTGATATGGAACAAAAGTGCACCAATTTCCATCCAAATCCATTCCCTCAAGAATTAGCCTGACTTACCCTTGATGGATCCATGTGGGGGGGCATCATGTTTGTAACTTTTTGTTTCATGGGTCTCATTTCATCATGTCTGTAGGGCGAAGAACCCAAGAGTTGCACACAATCGTTGTTTAGGGAATTTGTGGAAAGTTGTCGATCGACGGCAAACTAACACAAAAAGTCAAGAACAAGCACGTGGGCTTAGGAGTACTGTGGTTATTCTGTATCCTCCATTCGTCTCCTTCATGCATAATTATAGAAAACCTAAAATCTGACCTTTTCAAAACCTACCAAAAGGAAATATTCTTATACATTTACACCAAGTGATAAGATAATTAAACATTGCTGAAATGGCACATTCCCTCCCTTTTTTTTTTTTTTGACCTTTCTAAACCTACTACGAGAATTGTGTGTATGTGTGCGAGAGAGATTGAATAACAGGTTTAGGTGAATATTTGGTTCAGAGGTCAAAGTCCGTGATTTTTATTCAATTCCATATAAAATAAAACAATTTAGATCTCTAAACCTAATCTTGAAAAGAGAAGGTAAGAGTAACGTTGTTTCATGCAAAATCATATAGAAGGGAAGAAAACTCGCTCTGATAACACGACTGTAGCTACTAGTTTTGTATTTAACTATTTATATTGGACGATGATAATAGAAAATTTTATATTATTAGAGCTAGAAAAAACATTCCAAAAATGAATGTTGTAATAGACCAAACAAAATCCAATCATGCATACGCATGCTGATTTTTGGTGCACAGAATGTTTTACATGGGACCTACTAATAAAGGGGTGTGACGTGTCACTGCCTTTTTAGAAAAAGGGGGTGCCAATTGGGTGGGCTGGGCTGGGTTTAATTTCAACCTAGGCCTAACCCTAATAATTGGGCTAAGGCCTGAGACTTGCATCAAGCCCAATCTGTTCAACTCAGGTCCAATTTACAATGAAATTTGATGCACTTGGGTTGGGCTTGGTCCAGGGCTAGGATTTGGTTGCTCATTCAGCCCAAACTAAAATTTGATATAAAGTATATATACATATATAAAATATGTATGTATGTATCTATATATGTCATGCAAAAGTGTGTTTATGTATATATGTATGTATGCAAATTTGTGTTTATATATATGAATGTATACAGTCGGGCTGGGCTCCAGTTGAGATAAAATTGGACCTGATTTGATTAGGGTTCAACGTACCTACTAAGGACTAGGCCTGGGCTCAGCCTGAAACATAAAAACCAAACATTTGGACTCAGGCCCAGTCCGATGAACAAAAATCCAAGCTCAACCCATGTAAAAATGCTGGTTGGATCAGTTTGGGCTTGGATTATACCCATGTAAATTGCACCCTTAAAAAAAATGAGAAGAAAAAATGAGAAACAATGGGTTTGATTCAACAAATCTATCCAGAAGGATGCAACATGATACCAACACTGTAATTAGTAATTTCTGCCCACAACCACATTGAAGGAAAAAGTAGGGATACAAGGTTTATAAAGGTTTCCCTACTTTTCCCTTTTTTTCTCTATCTTTTCCTTCAAACCAAACATAGCCTTAATGTTATTGTATGATATTCATCTCTGTAGTTTACAAAAGTTATAATTTTTTATTTTTCTATTTTTGGAATAAAAATATCAACACATACCTTTTAACTGTAAACATTTATTTAATTAACGTCCTTAAAACAACAACAAGAAATCACTGGGTTTGTGGGTTCATCAACAGCTCGGGTTGGGTTGGGTTTGTGGGTTCATCAACAACTCCGATTGGGTTCGAGTTGACCCCAGGTGGCTTGGCTTTCAATACAGGAATATATGCATGTCTTATACAAACTAACAGTAAAACCAAAACAACGACTTCAAATGCAAATTACTATTTCATTATTCATAGAGACACAGCCAATGAAGACAGTCACAGCAACACCCACCAATTGACCATCACAGCCTTCCACGTACAAAGGGACCAAGTGTAGTATAGTTCCTTCCTGCTCCTACATCTTATTTCCTTCTAAATGAAATGCCAAGGAAGGAGGATTGGTTTGGCTAGAATCCGAAACAATCCAATAAGATAATACTTAGGCCTTGTTCGTTTTTCAGTAAGTTATTTATCCGAATAAATGCACTTATCTGGGTAAGTCTTTCTTGGAAAATATTTGCTCAGGTAGTGTATTTATCCATGTTCTTTTATTTTTCATGTAAATAAGGCAATGTCCATTTTATCCATAAAAATCCATTATTAAAAGGGGCATTTTTGTCCCATTCAAGTGTTGGTAACTTTTCCCCTAGGTGGGAAAGTTATTTACCCACCTAGGAGATGGGTATCACTTACCCGGATAAGTGATACCCAGGAAAATAAACTTTCCCTGGTCCCCATATAAATTTAAAATAATAACATGTGATTCTTGGTCTATGGGAACCAAAATCCCATTGACCAACTCTCCCCCTCTCAAAATCCAGAAAAAGAACGCCCCCTTACTATGTATGTATGTATGTATATATGGTTTGGGTCAGGTCTGAATTGGTTTGGGACCGGATAGAACCAGTTCCAAATCAATAATAATTGAGACAATATATTAAAAACCGGAATTGACACATCAGTACTGATCCTGGAACCAAAAACCTACCCAATCGGTTTGGGTCCATCAGATGATACCTAACTCATTGACAGCCCTAAATTCATGGCCAATGATTCATCAACTCAATTCAGTGCAGTTTCACCTTTGGCTGTTGTTGGGTCTATTCTTGGAAGGCGGATGAGGATAACTTCCATGCTGTGACATATAACATAAGCTTATCAATATCTCATATTATGCATTTTCTTTTATTGATAAAAGCAGCTGTTAAATTTGATATTCAATTATAGTTGTAACAAGGAGAAGAGGAGCTTTGAAATACTATTGTTGTTGTTAAAACGTCAGATTATTTGGTGGGGTTAGGTTTGATTTATGTGATTAAACTAAATAATAGTTTTGCAATTACATTAGAGAACAGAAGTTAAGTGGTCCAAAGCCAAGAAGAATGTTGTTTTATAGTTGACTTCACTTAATATTGGTTATTGAGTTAGGGAATATGGAAGAAAAGGACACCTTTTTCCTTCCAGCAAATTCATTACCTCAAGAATGTTATTATATTAACTTAAAACAGGCCCAATTGATATTAGAGAAAATCTTTCATTAAAATTAACCCGTTCAAAACCTACCAATAGGAAATATTCTTACATAGCCATAATTAAACATTGAGAGGACACATTCCCCTCCATATTTTCTTTCCTTGATCTTTCTAAACCTACTACCAGAACTCAGAGAGAAAGAGAATGTCTTAGTACATCAAACTTTTTTTTTTTGTATTAATTTTTGGACTCAAAAACCTCGTTCTTGGGCCCAAGGACATCATTAGGGATGATAATTTTGTAGGAATTTTTGGATACTCAATCCATCCGGACCCTAATAGGACCTAATTACCAAAACACTATAGGGTTTCGGTTTTGTCCTTGGAATACCTGATGCCTGAGCCTAATTATATTTAGCATAGGTACCCACTCTCATTACCTAATTATAAACCCATGTATATATTGGAAATTTATGGTGCTGGAAAGACATGATACGGGAAGAACATGAACTGATCAAAACTCTTATGAATTTTAATCAAAAATCATCTAATTTATTACCACTTTTATCATACCAGGTTATAAGTTATTTTGGTATATAATCAAACCCTAGTAAATGCATTTTATGTGTTTTATAAGAAATAAGTAAAAAGGATTAACAGAGGATTCAAATCCTTCCCCTTGTCTCCCATTATAGAGTCCAGATCTCCTACTCACTTTTTCTACCCACCGTGTATTGCAGCCACACATCTCTCAATTCATAATAGAGATGTATGGTTGCAATTCACAATGGGTAAAGAGTGGGTAGGAAAAGTGAGTAGGAAATCACGTTTGCCCATTATAGGCGTGTCTTCACCACTAGCCTACCACATCACTTACGCTTAAGAGGGCCATCACATTTCACTTGTGTATGAATTTGAAGAATTGGGAGTTAAAATTAAATGGATTTGAGAATGGAAAGGAAAATTTTCACGGCTACCCTATCTGTTTGCATCCCTAGATGTCATGCTAATAAGATCTACCAACTCAATCTTCTAGGTTTATTAGATAATCAAAACCTATTCAGGGCCCTCAACTAACAGTTTTAAGCTTTTTCAGTTGAACGGTTCCTTGAGAGGGTTGATGAACCTCATCAAGGAGATTTCCTGGGAGTCTGGGACCCATTGAGTGGTAGGGCCCATCGCCCTGCATCTTTTCCACAGATATGAGATATCCATTTCTTATTTCCACAGTATTCTCTGGAGGCTGGAATTAGTCGATCTGTATATGACTCCATCTAGTAATGTTGTTGATTTTCTGACACCGAAAAAATAGCTCCTGTTACCAAGAACCATGAGGCCACCAAGCCTGAAACAGCCCCAGTACTTGACTGATCAAGTAAACTGATACACACTCATTGAAATACCACCAATTAGAGGCCAGCCCCAGAGTGAGATAATGCATGTAGCTTCCAAGTAGACGTACGTTTAGCTCATTGCCAAAAGTCAAGGAGAAGAATTTTTGTGGCTCCGTATTGATCCATTATAATGGGCGTTCATTCAAGAAGATGCTCCCCTGCTCATGTGCACAGTCAGGAAACATTCAATAGTTTACAGTTCACATAAGAAAGAAATCTCCTAGTTCCAAAATCAGTGCACTCACGCAAGCATTCAGTTTGCTTCTGTTTACTCTTTTTATTATTTTTGTGCTTAATAGATTACATAAACAATCTCAAAATATCTACAAACATGGTAGGAGGAATTTCAACATCAAAGACCCCAAATTGATGAGGCAAATTACAACATCAAAATATCTTGATAAAATTGACTAGACGACATTAAAGATTGAAGGAGCTATTGATGAGGCAAATTACAGAAACCTTTTTTCTTGTGAAATGGAAATTATAAAGCATGATAGACAGTTCCTAGTGCTTCATTTGTTAACAAACAAATCTCTATGAAATGAGGGAAGCACAGAAAAAACTTTTATCTTTCTAGCTTGCTTAGAAAAGCTTCCATTGGTGGAACTTCCTTCACAATTTGTTGCCAATCGGGCATCCCCTGCAGATCAAATGCAACCAATTACCAACAATAGCATGGTACATTGAGTAAAGTTTAAATTTAAAAATTTCATATACCACCACTAGTCTAAACAAGAAAAATGCATGGTCAAAGGGATTCTCTTAGGAGAAACCCATGATGCAATTATTGATCCCTGTGGAGTTATTTCCATTTTTAATCAAGAAAACTGAAGAAAGATGACCAACTGTCAGAACACTATGGTTATAATGGACAGAGATCAATAAAGAGACCCAGATCTTTCCTTGAATGGGTAAAAGATAAAACTCTATGCTACCTATTTCACTAAAATTAAATAGGTAAAAGATAGCACTATGGTTATAATGGTGCCTCTGCGTCACCATTGTGAGTATGTTTTCTTTAGGTCTATTTTTTTGGAGATTTAAGGTCAGATGGTGCAGTCGGGCCTCCCCAACACAACCATGGATATCTAGCCTTCGTGGCAGGTCAAAAGTCTCGGCAACAAAGGCAGCATATTTGCTGCGATATGGCCAGTTTGTGGGGAAAAAAGCACTGGTTTTTTGCTCAATGAGGCTGTGGGTATGGTGCTTTCATGGCTTTCTGTTCAAAAGGATATTGAAATAGTAGACTAAAATCTATTTTTGCCTCTCATTTCTATTACTTTACAGGATAGTTTTATTTCCCTTTCTTTCTGGAAGCTTAAAAGGACTCCCATCAATACCTCTTTGTAGTACATGGGTTATACTTGTATGGATAGGCTTTTTGGCATATTCACACTTAACCATTTTTGAAATAAACAAACAAACAAATAAATGGTCAAAAGGATCTAAAGAAAAGTTCAACATCTATTGTTATCTCCATGTCATCCTAACTACATTCACAAACCAAGCTATACTATATTTGCCAAATTTTAAGATGAGGATACCTTATCATTTATTTCTCAATTAGGTAACTTGTATGCTTTTTCATCTTTATCTACTCTGAAGTCTTGAAGGAACTGCTGATAATAACAGAACTGTGAATAGCCCATTTAGGCCCATTAAACTAGTGTATACTGGGGACCTCACAAGATGGCCCATTATGGCTGAAAAGGGGGTAACCAACATTTATAAATAGTCAATGAAACAATGCGAAAGGCATTGAGCCATTTCAGAATCTCTCTCTCTCTCTCTCTCTCTCTCTCTCTCTCTCTCTCTCTCTCTCTCTCTCTCTCTCTCTTCTAATTTCAGGAGGCAGTCTCCCTCATCAATTCTCGTATCCATGGTTTCAAATGTCGCCAAATGTCGCTAATGTCGCCCGACATATGTCGATGTCGAGGCTCACCGACATGAAAGTGGATGGTAATATAAAAATTACATTATGTCGGTCGACATTTCCTATATTTCAGAAATGTCGACCAAATCGATCCAAATAACCAAAAAAAATACAGTTTTTTTTATTATGTCACAGGATGTCAACTAATGTACATTAAAAATATAATATATTAGTATATTATATTAATATAATACAGTATATTAATATAGATTATTCCATTAATAATTTCTATTTAATATTTCAAATAAAA